CACCCCAAACACCTCATCCCCAGATTGACTTCAGAGACTGAACTCCCAGCCAGAGCCCTCTCCCCCATTCTCTGCCCAACCAAGAGTACATTCCTGACCTCCAGGACCATCCTCCCACATCTTGAACTGATCATTTCTGGCCCCACCCCAGAGTACAAACTCCCAATTGTGCAAGTATTCATGGCCCACCATACAATTTCCATGCTGAGATGTGGTCCTCAGGCCAAAAAGTTTGCCCAGCCCTGCTCTACACTCTATTTTATGCTGAAAGGGACAGTACAGAAAAGGGGAGTGAGGTAGCAACTGAAGGGAGAGACCCAGGAACCAGTTTTTCTAGGCATTTGTTCATTCCCCTAGACAGAATGCCATAAATTAGGTCTAAATGCTTCATAAACTGCTCTAAGCCATAACAACCTACCCTCTACACTGTGTGTGGCTACAGCCTGAAGTGTCAGAAAGGCTATCTGTGAAGGCATTCAGGGGTAAATGACAACAGTGACAGCCATCCCCCCAGTGACTGGAAATACTAAAAAAAAGGGCCTGCATCTTTGACAACCAGGACCTAAATCTGCAAGGATTAAACTTCTGGATGCTCAGAATATTTCACAATTCTTGGGGGAGAAGGAAATACTAAGACAAGAGTTTGGGTTAGTACTCTTAGTACACAGCACTCTTATTTCAGAATATGCTATTCTGAAGACATATTTCAAAATAGCTTATTTCAAAATAGAGCTTCCACACTACCAGGAAGCCTCAAAAATAGTCTGAGGCAGGCTCCCCTAATGTGGGCATGCTATCTCAATTTAGAGCCCCAGGATGCAGTGGGGAGAAATTACTTAGAATGGCTCTGAGGAGGAGCTATTTTGAAATAGCAGCAGTGGAGCTATTTCAGAAGAAGAGTTATTCTCGTGAAGTGAGGTATACAGAAGTCAGAATAAGACATCCGTTATTTAGATGTTATTTCGAAATAACAGAATTGCTATACAGATGCTCGCTTTGTTATTTTAGAATAACATTAGTTAATTAATAAGTAATGTTATTCTGAAATAATGGTGCTGTGTAGATGCACCCTTAGTTAACAAGCTTAGCATATGTAGGTACTGGTAATGAATGGCCATTGAGCTATCAAAAACTGTCTTCACATTTTCTTTAAAATTACTTCATAATGTTTATAAAATCAGCTTTTATCAGGTTTATGCAGAAACAGACATTATGAACTATGAAATGCTTCCCCTTTTTGTTATAAAGTGAATTGTGACCAAATGACTGTAGGCTACAGTTTAAATTAAATAAAATCATTTACTGTAATTTAGATGTTACAATCAACAAAACACTGATTAATAGTTTAATATTTCATTAATTGTAATTAGCCTTATAGATCAGAGTATGCTGCTCCCAGTACTTACTGAAGTATTATACGTATATTTAATTAAAAGTTAATTATGTAATATTTTTTACTTGAAATTTACAAGTTAACTTTGGCCAACAGACATTGCTGCTTATAACAACCAATCTTGTACTAGTATTTATGCTTATTTTTATAAATAACTTATTTGAATATAGAAGATATGTGATTTTAATACCAACATTTTACAGGTCTAGCTCCAGACCCTGTCACTTCAAAGAGGCTGTAAACTAGCTGAAACTAGCCCCAGTGGCTAGGGGATAGGGCAGTATTCTGGAACACACGAAGATAACAGTATAGTTCACAATACATGAGGAACAGCCTGTATACACTGTGATAGTGTGAATGGAAAGATGTACTAGGATGTGTTGGGGGCAGGCAACTGAAGGAACTCACACACAAAGTATGTAAAGAGGTAGCAGCAGCTATTCCAGCTCAGACTAGATGAGCTCACTTGGAAAGCCATACCCCAGATTGGTGGAATTAATACCTTCTTCCCAGGGGAAGCACATATAAAAGGCAGGGGGAGACAAAGCCTGCCTGAAAAAGACTAGTAATGAAAGGAGCAAATGCCACAGATGTGGCATGGGTCACCTCCCTTAGGAGGCATGCCAGCCTGCCACCTTTGGAGCACCAGAAGCGAACCTCCCTAGAAGTAATGGGCCACTGAGACCGGGACCATGTTCCTGTCCATGTTCCAAACTTCCAAGCATTCATTTAAAGGCTAGGTAACAGAAAAACAGCTTTAAATCACATAAAGTTGTTTATTTTTCTTTTCAAGAATGGAAAAAATTTTGAAAATGTAATTTAATGGAATCCCTGGACACTTAGGTGCTAAACCTTCAACAACTCTTCATCATTCCTTTCTATATAAAATTAGGCTTCACCAAACCCTAAGATTTCTCCCCCCATTTCAGGCACTAGATACTTCTCTCTCATGTCCTCCCCACCATATGACAATGGTGACTCCATTGCTTTCCTCACCCCATTAAGTGTTTAATAATATCAATCACAATTCTCCCCAACACTGTTAGCAGCCAATGCTTATGATACAAACATTCCCGTATCTTTCTTCACAAATAAAAATGTTCTTTGTGATAGAGATGGTCTCCTTCTTTCTATCTCTAGGTGATGGTTAGAGAGCAGAAGACATCTTCCACCTCCTTCCCCTGAGGAAAGGGATGCAGCATCCAATGTTCTTATCAACACTAGGAACAGAGTATTTCTATTACCTGATTGTGCTGCTGAACAAGCAGACACATGGCTGCAAACTAGCCCCAAAAATGAGCTGCAAGGTCCATTACTGCCACTGCTACTGCCCAGCACCACAACCCTAAAGTTAATGTTGAGCAGTCAATTGGAGCTCAGCTTTTTTCAATTCCTCCAGTCTGAAGCCGGCAAAGTGAGCAGATCATTATCATGTATTTCTCTTTACTTGACTTTGTTAAGAATACCAAGAGATGCCCATCTGTGGTAAAGCTGAGTACCCTCCCATCAGCACGGAATAGGTTAAGGAGACCCTTAAGACCCATATAACCCCACCCTGTTATATCTGCAGCCAGGCCTGGAGGGGAAAGAAAAAGAGAGAGCATGGCTCAGCTTGGGGTTGACTGGCAAAGAGGCAAAACCTGGCTACCTCCCTACATGAGGGAAGAATTGCTGGCCTGCCACCTGAGGCAACGATAAAAGCCAACCACTGTTTTCCTGTCCATAGGAGATGAACAAAGAGGCCTAGAAGCATCAGGATGATGGAGGTGTAGAGACTTTGTGAAGGCTCCAACCCAACCAAACTTATGTCTGCCCTGCCCAGATGAATCTGGGACAGCAGCAGGACACCATATAGGGTCTTCAAGAGAGCACTAGTAAGAGACAAGTCACCACAGGAACTTGGACTATGGGGTCGTGTCCCAAACTGAAGAGGCAACAGTAGGAAGTAGTTCAGGGCAGTGGATGTACACTTTCCACTGGAAGGTCCCCTACTTAGGGGGTGACTTAGGACCCTGAGCTGGGATGTGATGGAGAGGGAGGGCTTGGGTCTCCCTAACTCCCACCCTGCCTTAAAGACTAGAACAACTTGACTACAGAGGCAGAAGACAGGAAGCCAACTGCTCTACCAGACTGACTAACTCTCTAAGGGCACATCTACACAGCAGGGCTAAAGCTAAAATTAGCTACGCAACTTGAACTATGTCAATTGTGTAGCTTAAAGTCAAAATAGCTTATTTCAGCTTTTGGCACTGTCTACAGAGCAGAAAGTCCAAGAAAGAGCACTTTTCCTCCGACTTCTCTTACTCCGTATACTATGAAGTAAGAAGTCCTCCAGCTTTATGTCAAAATAACTGCTTGTAGTGTAGACATGGGCTTTGTTATTTCGGAATAACATCAGTTATTCTGAAATAACGCTGCTGCGTAGACATAGCCTCCGTGTCGTCCTACCATCATCCTCTGCAAATGGTAACCATTCCATAAATTATGCACACACTAAACAATACAAAAGGACAGCCGATAAATGTGTCAACCAATCCCTTCTACCAGAGCCTGAGAAAAAGGGGGTGGGGGAGGGAGGATTTTGCAGTATGACTGAAAAATTAATAAATCCAGGAGCAATTTGAGGAGCAAATTCTCTACACAAAGGAATTCTCAAGGCCATAGTGAGGGACACACTTGCAGATATTTTCAAAGGGAAAGCATTGCTACCCACGTAAAAGAGGAACAGACATGCATTTGCAACAGTCTATGTCCTAATTTGGTCACACAAAAGACACAGCCTTTTCTCCTTAAGAAAGTAAAAGGAGGACCTAATAACAGTAGAAGCACCATGGGATATACCATTGTACAAGATACTGTACAACATTAACATCTGAAAAAATATAAGCACGAATCACTTTTGGAAAAAATGTGAATACTTTCCCTTTTATTATAAACAGTCCACTTTTGTCATTATAATCGTGTAAAATATTCTGCTTGTGAAAACTGAATCATTTTCTGTGATTGAAGCACATTAACAATCTGATTTTTCCCTCTTCAGCTAAGTGATAACGGAGTACAGTGAGTTATCAAAAGCTCTGAATATAATGTTCTCCTTGAAAAAGAACTTATTAGTACCAAGATGCTAAAGTGAAGAACCGAACATGAGAAAAAAATTGTGGGGAGGGATTTTTGTGATGGTAAATCCTGTAATAATAGAGAGGAGCTGCTGTTCCCCATCATTTTTCTTTTAAATAAGAATAGTCATATTTGTTCCTATTTCTGTAGGATAGAATCAGCAAACAGCTATAACAAAGCACTGAGAGAAGAAAGACAATGTGAACCGTATCTGCTGAAGTACCAATAAAAAATGCTAAAGCCATGTCTCAATTCTGTATACACACACACACTTAACTTTATGCAGGTAAAGTTATGGGAATACCCATGTGCATAAGCATCTGCAATATTGTGTCCAATGTAATTAAATATGTACTACATAGACCCTGGTACACTGTATGGGAAAATAATATGCTTCATGTTCTAGATCCTTAAAAGTGGATATTGTACAATTTTTAGAAGTTAGATAGATGTTCTTCAGGAATCATTAACTATAAAAGCAAAACCTCACCTTCCTCCAGGACTGCTGCTGCTATCCTCACTATCCCATTGTTCATTTTTACTTCTTGGTACTGGAGGTTGCAACATCTCCGCAGCCAGTGGATCTGCATCATTCTCCTCACGACCAACCCATTCTCCAATCACACGAGGTTTCAAAAGAGGAGCATTAAAACCTGTTGTGTCCTGAATAGAAACAAAAGCCAAAAACAACTCTATGCTGCCCTTTCTCAGTCATGTTTATAAACTGGAAAAAGGGAACAAAATACAAATGTATTGCTTCACCTCATGTATTGACCTTATTGGAATAGTATGGGACATTAAAGAGTCAAAAACCTGATCCAATGCCCACAGAGATCAATGAAAAAATTCCCATTAACTTAAATGTGCATTGGATTAAGGTTCTTGCTCCAGAGAGGTGTTGACCATTCTAGTGCTCAGAACAAAATTAGAGCTGAGTAAATAAATTATTTTGGGTTCAGTGGCTAAGCCTATAAACAAAACAAAAAAATGCTGAGAATTGAAAAAAATGTTTTGTTCCATATGGGATAATTTTCTGTTTGATTTTTAGTTTCATTTTGTTTTCAGGTATTTCTTTTCCCTACTTAAAAATAAATCTAGCTAACTTTCAAAATAAAGTGATAGAAATATAGCCGTGTTAGTCTGGTGTAGCTGAAACAAAAAACAGGACTATGTAGCACTTTAAAGACTAACAAGATGGTTTATTAGGTGATGAGCTTTCGTGGGCCAGACCCACTTCCTCAGATCAAATAGTGGAAGAAAATTGGCACAACCATATATACCAAAAGATACAATCAAAAAAATGAACACATATGAAAAGGACTAATCAAATTTCAGAACAGAAGGGGGATGAGAGGAGGGAGGTAAATGTCTGTGAGCTAATGATATTAGAGGTGATAATTGGGGAAGCTATCTTTGTAATGGGCAAGATAATTAATGTCTTTATTTAGACTGAGGCGTAAAGTGCCGAATTTAAGCATGAATGACAGTTCAGAGGATTCTCTTTCAAGTCTGGTGTGAAAAGATCTTTGAAGCAGGATGCAAGTAATGAAGTTGTTGAGATAATGCCCTTTCTGGTTGAAATGACAAGGAACTGTTTTTTCTTTGTGATCCTGTCTAATATCTGTTTTGTGGGCATTGATTCTTTGGCGAAGTGTCTGAGACGTTTGTCCAAGGTACATAGCAGACGAACACTTTTGGCACATGATAGCATAAATATTAGATATTAGACAGGATCACAAAGAAAAAACAGTTTCTTGCCATTTCAACCAGAAAGGGCATTATCTCAACAACTTCATTACTTGCATCCTGCTTCAAAGACCTTTTCACACAAGACTTGAAAGAGAATCCTCTGAACTGTCATTCATGCTTAAATTCGACACTCTACGCCTTAGTCCAAACAAAGACATTAATTATCTTGCCCATTACAAAGATAGCTTCCCCAATTATCACCTCTAATATCATTAGCTCACAGACATTTACCTTCCCCCTTTACCCCCCCCTTCTGTTCTGAAATTTGATTTGTCCTTTTCATATGTGTTCATTTTTTTGATTGTATCCTTTGGTATATATGGTTGTGCCAATTTTCTTTCACTATTTGATCTAAGGAAGTGGGTCTGGCCCACGAAAGCTCATCACTTAATAAACCATCTTGTTAGTCTTTAAAGTGCTACATAGTCCTGTTTTTGTTTCAAAATAAAATGTCATTTCAAAACAAGGTCAACGTGCTTTACTTTAAATTGGTGATATGTTTTAACTTTTTTCCCCCCTCTTTTGGCCAAAATTATTCTCCAAAGTCATGAATAATTTTGATCCACCCAAAACTGCATTTTTAGCAACTAATTAATTTCCTGAAAAATGTCTCCCAGTTTTACTTATAACTTCATTTTGCGTTTTAAATCCAACAGTTTTGATCAGGAATGGTAGGTGTCCATCACTCTTAGTTTGGCTTTAAAACTATACCTTCTTCAAAAGACCCTCCTATTGGAAGTACCACTGTTTTAATTACATAAAGCAATGGATGAGGTCACTTTAATATTGAAGAACACAGCAAAGATGGTATATTTCAGTTTAACGTCATCTCTCATTAATTCAGTGTGAAAATCATACTGAGCAGGAAAATCAACAGGCAATTTTAAAATAATCCTGCTTTTTTGTTTCACATATCCTCCTATCTTCAATTAAAATGTATTTTTATTTGGCTGATGGTCTGTGCATTATAATAGGCAATAAATAATGTAAATCATGTGCCACTATAATTAGCTGCAATTACAAAGATAGAATCCATATTTTTTGAAAACTTGCTTAAGTTATATGGTGGAATAACTAGAAGGAGATTAAAAAAACCTTACATTTAAAAAAAATTGATATTTCACAGCATTGATTTTGGAATGTTAACAACAGAAACAAATGGTCCATGTAATTAGACAGAGTTTGTGTAAAGATTCTACGTAAGCCTTTCCAATTTCCTTGGAGATGTGTGCTTATATGTAAACTGGGAGTTGATGCAAAATAGTGATAATTTGAAGTAAAATATTATGCTGCAAACTTGCCATTTTGAAATGATATGCTGAGGATAATTATCCTGCTCTCATTGAATGTCATTTCTAGGACAGCAAGGAAATTTAAAATGCAGGTTCCTAATACAGTAGACATCCAATAATCCGGCACCTTTTAGACCTAGGTAGTGCCGGATTATCAGATTTGCCGGAGAATCAGAAGGTCCGGTACAGCTGCACGGCTTAACAGCTGACCAGGACACAATCTCCCTCCCTCTCCCCTCCCCTTTCCTCTTCGCAGCTCCTCCCTGCTGTAACCTGATCCTCCTTCCTCTCCCCTCTCCTTTCCCCTTTGCTGAAGCAAAATGCTCTTCTCTATACTGTAACATGATCCTACTCCCTCCCTCCCTTCCCCAACCTTATGCTCCCTCTGGTTACAGCCAGCACATGTGCTGAGCGGCAGGCTTTTTAATCAGCTGGTCAGGAGCGCTTGGCATTTTGATGCTGGAATATTGGGAGTGCCGAACAGTTGGATGCCGGACTATCGGAGTTTTACTGTAATTAAGATATATTGTATATTCTGCTCTGTAATGAAAGACAATCATTTTAGGAACACAAATCCTTATGGCTGTTTGGCTCCGCATCCCATGAAATTATCACTACTGTAAGAAAAACACAGTCCTAATAAATGGCATCAGGAGAAGCAGCAGCAGGATGATTATTTAGATTAGTAACATATGTATTCATTTCCCTCAATAACAAATAATCTTTAAAGGGACACTAAAGAATTGGAATGACTAGTTTAAATGCAAAGTTTCAAATATTAGCAATTATTCATAATATAAAATTCTTAAAAGTGTTTGTAGTATTTGAAATCTATAAATAATGTCTATCCAGTTAGAATGGGGAAGTCAAATACAGGAGTTAAAAGACAAAGCTTGAAACTGACAAGATTTTAAATTCCAGATTCTATATTCCTTAAATGTGAGTCCGAGTGTTTTGTTCACATAGTAGGTATCTGACTCTGCATCAGTCTAGGATTTTCTCTATGTAGGAGAAAATCCTCAGTTACCTGGTCAGGGATGTTTTAGGTCCCTTTGGAGTGGCACAGAAGCCTTTAGAACAGGAGTGGGGAACCTAGGGCAGCCCTTGGGTTGCCTGGATCTGGCCCCCAGACTTAGGGCCTTCTCCAGCATTGGGGAGCCGCTGATACTTTATGGGAAGGGCTGTTTGCATATTATATCTATACACCTATTTGTGGTCTGGCATGGCTGTCCCTCCACATCTGAGGGAGGCCATGCCTCTTTGCAGTTTGATCTGCTAGAGTATTCTCCCAAAGGAAGAAAAACAAGGGGAAATTTAGCAGTTCTCAATGGGTCCTGATCTTCAAGAGAGACAGGGTTGCAATGATACTTTATGGGAAGGGCTGTTTGCATATTATATCTATACACCTATTTGTGGTCTGGCATGGCTGTCCCTCCACATCTGAGGGAGGCCATGCCTCTTTGCAGTTTGATCTGCTAGAGTATTCTCCCAAAGGAAGAAAAACAAGGGGAAATTTAGCAGTTCTCAATGGGTCCTGATCTTCAAGAGAGACAGGGTTGCAAACAATCTAGGCTCTAGCCTGCAGCCAAGCAGAGTTGTAGCACCAGCCCAGTCTATGGGGCTCCAGCAGGGGTGAGCACTTGCACCAAGCGGTTGTCTGTCCTCTCTCTCTTCCCCGGGAAGCAGCTCCTCTGTAGCAGGAAGGCCAAGGCTCTCTGGAAGCACAGACTAGTCTCTGGGGCAGCAGCAGTTCTTCTTGGCATCTCATTCCTGCAGTAGGGAAGAAGCATCTGTCTCCTTCGGCAGCTGCCTCCCAACTGACCTGCTGGGACAATTTTTATACTTCTACTCCCTGTCCCACCCCTCTGCTTCCAGCGTGCAGAGTCTGTTCATCGTGGTTCTGCCCACCAGGAGGCTTGCAGCATTCCCTCCACCTCTGAGGGAGGCCATGTCTTCTTGCTACACCATCCTACTCTGGTCCTAACACTGCAGTTGCCTTCCATCCATTCCACCCCTTAACTTCTCCAACAGAGAGTCATCTGCAGAATCTGTCAATCTCGTTTGCCCTTAGGTTATTATTTATATTACCATAGTTTCTCATCACAGTCCCTCATGCCTCCTTTCCTGTACTTCTCTAGTAATATATGCTTACCATTGTCTTCTTTCACTGTCTTTTTAATCTCTGGGGAGAATTAGACAGACTTCCCCTACAGCCCAGCTAAAATCATTGTTTGGGTGGTGACATTTTATTGCAAGGTTGAGAAGACATTGTAGCAACACTGAAAATTATCTTTAAATTGAAAAGCTTGTCGTTGAAAAGGGAGAATACTGTCTGAGACTAATTAAGTGATCTAGCACATTTTAGGATCACTGCCATTTTTGCTCTATGGTACTTCACAAATTTCTGAAAAATTAAAGACAAATATTTTTAGCTGTATGAATTCTGTTGTAAAGCAGTCAGGTGGTACAGCAATCATAGAGGAAGGAAATGAAGATTAGTGATTTTCTAGTACCATTGTATCATGTCTTTGTTGCAGAATTTGAGGGCATGTCCTACATTTACATTTGATTGGCAAAACATTTGTCGTTCACAGGTGTTCAACCCTCCCACTCCCCCTTGAACAAAGTTTTGCCATGACAATCAAAACAGTAAATGCTGCTTTGTCACCAAAAGCGCTCTATTGCCAGCAAAGCGAATTTCGGTCTTTGGGGGATGGAAGTATTTTGTTGGCAAAAATGCTGATACCATTCACGCAAGCTGAGTTTTAGCAACAAGGCTGTCTTGACCCTGGGAGTGTGTAAAAGTCTCATGGCCTCTCTTAGCCCTCCAAAGTGCTTGCTAATAGTTCTAGATGCTCTTGTCCAAAGGAGACAGAGTGAAGGGGAACAAATTGGTTTCAGCTGTTACCGTAAATTTTGCTGAAAATTGTGGATTCCATATAAGGAAAAATTGAAGATACTCGGAAAAAGCCACATTTTTTTCAGACTCAGCTTTTTCTTCCTGCAACATACATTGTCAATTTGCACATGACTATTTAACAAATGAAAGCTATTTGCCCTTTTTCTGATGATATTCATTTTAACATTTGTTGGAACTAGGTCATCATATATCACAGCATTTTGCAAGATCAATTTCATAAAAGAAATTTTAAAAATCATTTTATGATTAACCTTTGCCATCCTTGCTTCTATTTAAAGATTGTGTCAACACACATCACAACTTCAATGACCTAATTTATTTATTTCATTTCAATCTCACTGACATCATACTAAGAGTGATAAATAGGAAGTCAGAGAAGGCTGTATTGAAAACACTGTGGCATTATTTGGAGTGTTCCTTCAAACAATGATTGAGTAAATTAACATACAATGTTTAATTTGCAGTTAGATCTTTGCTGCATCTTCCATTTAAATCTTGCAATGCTAGCCTCATGAGTATTTTAAAGGACAAACAGTACACAAAATGATATGTCCTGGAATTTCCAGAAGAGAAGTAGGAATGTAAGAGATTCAGGCTACATCTACACTACTGCTGTAAGACGATCTCAGCTACAGAACTCCAGCTACATGAATAACGTAGCTGAGAGTTGATAGATGTTAGGTCACATTACTGCAGAGTATACACTGCAGGAGGTTGATGGGAGAAACTCTCCCATCGACTTCCCTTACTCTTCTCATCCAAAATAGAGAGAGCGGTTAACTGCAGAATGATCTGTGGTTGATTTGGCAGGTCATAACTAGATCCACTAAATCAATGGCCAGTGGATCGATCTTAGAGTGTCCATCCAGGCTGTAGTGTAGACAAACACAGTCTGTAAACTTGGCCATATACATCTTCCATAAGGGGAGAGAATTCTATCCAATCAGAGATTTAAAGTCAGTGCTTGAGTCCTGTCAGAATGCTTGAGAACCCTGTTCTGACACTTCTGAGGAACCAGAACAGCATTTCACAATGTTCCTGGTACTTGAGTTCTGCCATTTCTCAAGCACAGCTCTCACCGGTTGTTTAAAGTTGAGAATTAATCTTCTTTGTAGATTATAATTTAATGGATCCTGTATCTATGGACGCAGTTTTTGTACTTGCAGGATTAGGAAAGGAAAAAGTATCTTTGAGATGACAGATAAAAAATGGTCTGAGAAAACAAATTAAATGAATTTTTTTATTTTAGGCCTGGGGTCATGGTGGTCAGAACTTGTTATGATTCCTGGGCCACATTCACCCTTGAAAAACCCTGAATAACTGATCCTTTGGCATTCTCCAGTTACTGTTTCCACTAAAAGTGAATGCAACAAAGGAATTTGAATGCACTGTTGCCAAATCTCACAATACTATTGAAATGTCACTTCATTTGGAGTTTTAAGTAAAGTTCCAAATCATCATTCAGTATGTAAGCTTTATTTTTAAAAACAGCCCTTACATTTGTAAAGTAACAGTTGAAAATGTGACCCAAGGGTCAAAAAAAACAAAAGGCAAATGAAACTTCCCAATATATTATTGTTCAAAAATCTCATGATTTTTTAATCTCTCTTGTGATTTTGGGGTCAATTACATTTTGAAAATTTTGTTGGCAATACTGCTATTACAATGTGTGTGTGTAAATCTGCATTTAAAATTAAATATTTTCATTAAATCAGTGTCAGCTTTGTTCCTGCTGTGACTGGGGAAAAAATAGAAAAAAACCCCACCTCTTGCAGGGACCAGAAAGGGGTTTGTCTCATCAACAAAACTAACTATATATAAAGAAAATAAACTGGAAAAAAGGGAAATTATGTAAATTAATCTGTTTCAATAATAGACATTTTAGGAATTTGAGACAAAGGGTGAAGTAGTATCTTTTATTGGACCAACCTCTGCTGGTGAAAGAGACAAACTTTGGTGACCTGAACAGCTCTGTATATCTCAAAAGCTTTTGTCTTTCATCAGACAGTAGTCCAACTGACATTACTTTATCTACCTTGTCTCTCAAATATCCTGGAACCAACACAGCTACAACTCCATTGCATAAACAATGTAATATAATTTTCAAAGTGATGGTTTCTATTTAATTTCTTCCACTTTACCTGATTTCCTGTAAAGATGTCAGTTTGCATGATTGAAAAGTATACAAGGATTAAAACAAACTTTCAGAATGTTCAAATTGAGCAGTTAAGTAAAGTAGCAAATAAAATCTGTCTTTGCTGAATTTTTTTAACCAATCAATATCTTAGTAATGTCACCAATATTGCTTCCCATGAAATGATGATTTTCACACTGAAATATAACACGTCAAAATATTGCATGTTTTGAGGTAAAAACTGGTCTTCATCAAGATGAAATGTAAGTATTTTTAGATGCTTCCTCAAAAATAAAAGTGTGTAGGATAATGAATTCACTTTCACTCAAAATGCTTCTATTCAATAAAAAAGTGACACTTCACAAGGTTTATGACAGTCAAAACAATTACAACTAGCTCACTGATTTCAGTACAAACTATTCACAATGCTAGGTTTCAACAGAAGGAGACCTTTTGTTTTAATATTTAACAAATACTACCAGACAGAAGTGTGTCAAAAGTAAAAATAAAGGTCCAGATCCTGAAATGCTTATGCACATGCTTAACATAATCAACAGGATTACTTGAGTTTAGAATACATGTCAGCATAAGAAAGATCAAGGCCAAAACACACAGGAGTTATGCATAAACCACCATCATTTGTAGATAGCAGCCCCATATCCCACATGCCTTCTTGGCAATATCTATCATACCTCTCTGAAGGACCAATCGTGGAGAAGTCTGTTCACCATTCTCAGGTGGCCAGAATTAAGTCAATCTTATATTTCTTGCAACTGTGAAATTAGTATTCCTGTTTGTATGCCACATGCATAGCTAGCCATATTTGGGGCCAAAGAACACTCCTAAAGATGTTCACAAACAGTATAATTACTTGAACTTAATTTTTATAGCAGCTACCTGAAGCTCAAATTTAAAAAAATATACTTATAGGAAATATTTAGCATTAGGTATATAATTAAATTATCCCTACAGATCAAATTAAGCAAAATAAGATATACAGCTGTATAGCTTGTGTGTGGACTGAGGCTAAAGCCCTTTAAAGTTTATGGGAAACTTTCTGATAATGCCAGAGGACTTTGGGTCTGGCCCATAATGTGTATGAGGCCTGTCAATAGTCCTTAAGTATTCAACTCCCCACTGAACTGAGAGTTGAGTGTATATTCAAGTTTTGCAAGGCTGAACTCTTACTGCATAAAATTACCATAAACATCGGCCTGTTTGCACTATTCATTAGGTACACAATCACTCTTACCTTCTCAAGTTCATCAGAAATAGCAATGCCTGAAAACAAAGCAGATTTTAAAAAGCAATTTGAGAAATGTTCTTTGTAGAAATGTATTTTGTTACAGTAAGCAAAACAAATGTTTAATCTGGAAACTTGTATAATTTCTGCTTGCAAATGCAGTCTATTAAAATGTGAAATTGACCAAAAGCAATGTACTGTAATTTTCCTTTGGGGCAATACAATCAAACTGATCTTCCAAACAATTATGAAACTATAGAAATCCATGACTGTGATAATAGACTGATGAAAAGCTAAAATTTGCTTATTGGTTTTTTAAAATTAAAAAAGCAATTTAGTATTTTTAGCCTGAAAACATTATGATGCAAATTCTTCTTTGACCAACAAACATCCATACAGCATATGTAATGCATCTGCCTGCCAGCAAAAGGTGACATAGACCTGACCGTGCTCTACTTTGCACTTGCAGGAATATCTCCATAAAAGTCAATGGAATTAAACCTATGAGAAGAGAATTAGGTCCAGTGTCTCCCAGGGAATTTCACACCACTAGTTAGGGCAGCTGTTCCAAATCTTGAGCAGGCACAACATGGTCACCTGATCTATTCACTTATAATTTTAGCTGATGGCAACACAGAGTTGACTGTTTGAGGCTTTGCTATGTCCCATTTACATCAAATCATTCCATCCCACACTATGGTGTAGGCTGCCAATATTGCCCCACGTACTATGGCTGGATGCTGCTCATCCTGCTTCACTATGTCACAAGGAATACTATTCTGCTCACTTTACTGCCAGAATCACTGAAGCCAGAGAGTTATTCTGCTCTAAACTTTAGCAAATAAATAAATTAAATTAAATCAAGACTGTCATCTAAGTCTTGTAAAGTGATCCTGCGCGCTGTGTACCAGAGCTCATTTTATATATTACACATCATACATCTAGGAGCAGATTTGAAAACTTAAGTAGTTTTTTATTTAAGTACATGTATTGTGGCATTAGCTCAGACTAAACATATTGCCAATAATATTGCGATCAGTTAACAGCATGTTATTATTATACCAAAGCTGTATGACTTGGTTTTATTTAAGTGATATACTTTCAATCAAATCTACGTGTTGCTATTTCTCCTTCTAGATGGTTTTCTTTTACTTATTTGTTTTTAAAACAGTGGGGTACAAACAGAATTGTAAACAACATTTTAGGATCTGATGAATACAGAAGAATTAAGCAGAAATTAATGAAACATTTTCTCAGTCATTCAATCTTTACAAAGTAAATTCAACAAAATAGACTTTGCCTGCCCCCACAGCAATTCAATTGTTTTTCAGTACCGAAAAGCATTTATTTAGCAGAGAAACTACACTGCTGTCCATATATTATGTGGAACAGTTTGTCCCAGTTTGAGTAATATATGCCATGAAATCCATTGTTTCTCCCCTCATCTTCTCCTCCCTCCTGAGGAGTGTAGGTGTATGCAAATGGAAGAAGATTCACAGAAGACTGGAAATTATATTTAGCTGTCTCTTCACCCTGCACAGCTCTATAAACCTGAGTAAGTATTAATAAAACCTAGATTTCCATAGCATTTGATTTTCCCTGAAAAATTAAAGCTAATCCAACACACAACCACAGATGCTATCTCTACCCATTCAGACACTCTACCATCTTCTCAGCAAGCTTTAATATTTCTTTTCAAATCAGTTTTTTTGCCCTATGAGCAGTCCCTATTCTCCTGCTCCATGTGTCCTGTCACTACTATTGGGTCTGTGGAGCCTGGAAGCAATGCAGATGGACTTCTTTTCATGGTCAAAGAAACAAATGAAGCAAAATCACTACAAAGCCCAGGATGACTCTTCCTCAGAGGCAGTGCCAGTGCTAGCCCATTGAGTAACCTAAAATAATATTGTTGAGATCCCCCCACATATTAATTACTAACAGGGGGTTCCCTTGAGCTACACAGGGTCCTAAGCAGTTCCATAGTCTGCTTATACCTAGCAGTAGCTCAGCAAGGAGGGTAAGGTAAATAAGAAGCCGAAGTTTCAGAGAGGTAACCATATTAGTCTGTTTCAGCAAAATCGAGGAGTCCTGTGTCACCTGCCTGAGGAAGGTTTATGATCTGCCCCTGGAGGGGCTATGTTGCAAGGCCCTTAAGAAGAAGGTATTCTTAAGTGGGAAGAGACTATTGCAAGAGTATAAGGAAAAAGGAGGCACGTGGAAGTCAACATAACTTGGCTCTTGTCCAATGTCCAAAATCCTGAAGATAACTATATACACCAAGTTCAGAATTCAGGGTTAATGGCAAGAGCATTTCTTCATCCAGATTTACTTCTTGAGCAATTTTCCTTGAGTTTAAATTCAGCGAACTGGAAATGACAAACTTCCCATGCTGACATACCCTGATGTCCCTATTATGCCAAAAGGAATTCATTCTATACTACAAATAGTCAGGCTTTCTGTTTGCAGGATTCTTTCCCATAAGATGCCTATGTATTTATTATTTCATTATAAATATGCTTATAACCCCTAATCAGGAATGAATACACCTTTGTACCAAGCCTTGAACGTTCAGTAGGAAAAGGTACAAATGTACCACAGCTGATGACAGCATAAGAAATAATTAAACAACGAAAAGCAGGATTTTATGGATTTATATATTAGCAATCACAGTGCCAAATCCTGAAATCCTCTCTCATACCCATATCACTCCCTCCTATGGCAATGCAGGAAATTAGAAAAGGGTTCTGGAAGAGGGAATTTCACAGAGATCCTCCCATGCCCCTTTTGAAGACACATGAAAAACTACTGTGGACAACCCTCAATGCAGGCAGATCGGACAGGATCCACAGGATTCCAGGGCCATCTGAACTAATGTCTTGCTCCAATGACGTCTTCTAATTTCCTAGTAGCAGAATTTGACTGAAGTGTTGCTAGCAGTGGCTATGGTTGCTCAGGGGAAAGGATACATCATAACCTCCACACAATGGTATTTGAGTTACCACAGTTACTTCTTTAACTGTTGGCGAATATTGACTTTTTGTTTTTAAAAAGACACAGTCAATGTAACTATCACGCTTCTGGTAATAATATTTACTTGCTATTGTTATGATTAAGTGGGTTATTTTCAATGTCATTTATTTTAAAATGACACAGTCAATGTAACTATCATGCTTCTGGTAATAATATTTACTTGCTATTGTTATGATTAAGTCATAAAATTCTGAAAACTGATAACAATTAGAGCAAAAAACCACCACTCCATTTTCTTAACTTTGTGCATCTGACACTATTTCCCTTGAAGAGTCTATCAAATTCCACTGTTTGTGAGGATCTTTTATACAGCACAGACAAGGGGAAAAGCGATTAAAAAATAAGAAAATACAATTATAAAATGAAAGACTATCAGAAAGACAAAAGGATAAATCTGGAATATTACAGGATTTCCAATTCATTTATTATAACTGGTTACATTTGAAGTTGATGGTGTCAGTTAAAAACAGAATAACTTGTGCATATGAAATCTAAACACATACTGTTAATCTCAAATCAAACAGTTATGACAATTTTTTCTAGACTTTCAGATTCTGGCTTCTTTCTCCATAAATTTAATCCTAAAAACTAACAGGATTTTGCATTAGAGAATATGAAATGTCCTATCTTCTAAAAGTGTACAATATTAGATGGTTTAGAGGGAATGAACTGAATACAACAATCATTGGACAGTATATCTCTTATCATCCAGCCCCAGCTTTTGGCAGTCAAAGGACAGCAGGAGAATGGCGTTGCCTGGAGATCTTGGCTAACATACCCCTCCCACCTGTATTCCATGAATGTAGTTACTTCCTTTTGGAACTCAGTTACAGGCGACCCCTGCATTTATGAATTAATTGGTTCCTGGAGAACCGTTGTAAGTTGGGCCATCGTAACTTGAACCCTTATTGCCCATAGGGGCAATGTTATGAATGGGGGTACCGTTCCTGGCCCACTTTGCCTCCTGGGAGTTGTAGTCTTCTAGAGCCAGGGGGCTCTGCTGGGCAGTAGACAGCTCTGCGGTGCAGCATGAACAGCACCCTGAGTTAGGTGGGAGGTGCACCGGCCGGTAGGCGGCCCTGCAGAGCGATGCAAATGGAGCCATGAGCCGGCTGGCTGAGGGCTGGGCCTGGCAGTAGGCAGCCCTGAGGCGCAAATGGTAACTAGAGACAGCCGGCTGGAGGCTGGGCCCGGCAGTTGGCAGTCCCACGGTGCAAACAGCACTATGAGCTGGCCAAGGGTTGGGCTGGGTCGGGCGGTAGGCGGCCCTGCGGTTCCCAGAGCAGGGCAACCGTAAATGCAGGGGGTTGTAATTTGGGTGGTCGGAAGTCAGGGATCGCCTGTATACCTTTACCTTTTGGGACCACTGGATTAAAAATGCAATTGTTTATTGCAATGGTAGGGAACCTCAGGCCTGGGGGCCTGCTCTAGGAAGCCGTGCTGGTGCTCCAGCCTCCCTGCCACCTACCCACATGGCTAAAGCACACAAAATACACTAGCCTGGCCCCCCCAGGCTCTGATGTGGAAGGGGAATGTGGGGTGTGTCTTTCTCCTTCTCAGTCGAGGCTTCTAATTGGCTTCTCACTTGTGTGCGGCCCCCGACTGATATTTCAGTGGGTGACCCAAGAAGGGTTCCCCACCACTGGTTTATTGAATGTAAGTTATTTAGGCGAGTGACAAATGCAACATCTGAAAAGTAATAGGAATATCAAAGCCTATTTTGTTCAACATCTTTATTATTGACCTGGATGAGGGGATGGATTGCACCCTCAGCAAGTTCACAGATGACACTAAGGTAGGGGGAGAGATAGATACACTGGAGGGCAGGGATAGGGTCCAGAGTGTCCTGGACACATTAGAGGATTGGACCAAAAGAAATCTGATGAGGTTCAACAAGGACAAGTGTAAAGTCCTGCACTTGGGATGGAAGAATCCCAAGCTTTGTTACAGACTGTGGACCGACTGGCTAAGTAGCAGTTCTGCAGAAAAGGACCTGGGGATTACAGTG